AGAATAAGTTTTATTTCCAGTTTTATACTGCCATTGTTGCTTTTATCTAGTTTTATTGGGGAGAGAGATGGAGGGCTAACCCTCTGCAATTTAGGATAGCTTTGCAGTTGATTCTATTGGATTGTGCTTATCCTGTCTAGGCATATATTTATTTCCTGAGAAAAATGTGCAGCTTATATAACAGTCTCCTTTGCCTTTTTTACCTCTCAGGGAAGCCCTGAATAAAAAGTATTGTAGTATATCTACAAATCAAAAATGTGTATTTTTTTCAATCACAATTTAAAATTGCCCATTGTGTTGATTTTAGAATAGACACTGCTTTGTGTCTTTTTAAGAGAGAAAAAGCAGCATATAAATCATCATCATTGTATCATGGACTCTCTAATAACCTCTCATATAAAGGCAGGGTTCCAGGGAATTCTGGCAGAGAAACCCTGATATCTAATACTGCCTTTCTATCCTGTTTCTATTGTACTTGTTAAACACTGATAGTTACTTTTTTAAATGCAATCATGGGAAGCTGCATGAGCTGCCAAATAGAGACAAGCAATGGCGCACCTAGATTTGCAAGAAATGAAAAATTATGCTTTATCTTTACAAGAAAGAACCTCAGTGCTCATGAGGTTCATATAGGCCGCACAGTTGTGAAGGAATAGAAAGTTTTGTTTCCATTTTTAATTCATCACAATTTAGCACCTAAACTATAAACTGTGGTTAATCTTTGTTGATGGCTTCATAGCTCATGCTATCAAAAGCAGAACAGTTTTCCATCTCCTCCTTGCAACCACACCGAAGTACAAAAGGAGACATGTGCACACCCAAGATGCTCTGTAGTTATATGATGACAAAGATAAAACCAGGCGGCAGACATTGCAGAGAACAGAAGGTTTTGTGCCAGTAGTAATTCTTCTTTGGTGGTACTTCTTTTTTATTGATATATATGGCAGTGTCAGGACTCTGCTACTTCTACTCATTTCCTTATCAATATAAAATGGGAAATTCAGTTTTTAGCTCATGGACCTTAATGATGAGGATGAGCGATGGTAAAATCCTAAGGGGAAAATAAACTCATAAGAGCTATCAGAAGCATTTCTTCAGTAGGAACAGCAGAACAAAGTATCAATCTTTTAATTTGAGGGTCTGAATTCTGTGAGTTACTAGGACATCAATTCAAAACCATTGGTGACTACTAAAATTGCAAGCTGCATCAAATAATAATTTTACACTATATCTGCAGCATCTCACTTCAGAACAGGTCAAATTTTGCCAGCATTAAAAACGATTATTAAAAAGGAGCAACACCTGTGTTATTTCATGCTAAAATACATATACTATATATTTCACCCACTTGGGATTTCTAACATGGTTTTCCAGCAAGGAACCTAACACATTGATATAGTAATTTCTTCAAAATGGATACATACCTGTCTGTGCTCTGTGCTGCTATTAAGGAGGGGAATATAAATTCAATAAAATCTTTGCTACTTGAGAAGAAAACTCGAACTATATTCACGTAATTTTGATTATATGACAGCTGGATGCCTATCTGAATGCCAATTTAGCACCTACAGACAAATTGTACTACTGTAGTGTCTTTCCTCCCGCCTATAAAGAGCTTTCACCAATCAAGCCTAAAGCCAAGGTATGTTCACGATAAAGTTTTCACTGTCATGGAGATCAGAAAGTGTGCATAAATCCATCTTAATGGAATGACAGCTACATATGAAGAAGAAAAACTGCAATGAGGGAAGTAGCAATCCAAGAACATGTCCACAGAAACATTCAGTTCTACAATGAACCTATAATGTATTTTAAACAGTCCCATTCCAGTGCATTGTTAAGAAGTCATACACTTGAAGGCATTTTATGCTTCTTGAAAACAGAAATTTAAAGAAAGAACCTTCAGTATAAATACAACCACTTTATCTACATGGCCCTTGTGCCAGCAGGACTGCTGCCTGAAAGGTCGACGGTTCAAATCTGGGGAGCAGGGTGATTTCCCATCTGTCACCTCTAGCTTCTCATGAAGGGACATGAGAGACATCTCCCACAGGATGGTAAAATATCTGGGTGTCCCCCGGGCAACATCCTTGCAGACAGCCAATTCTCTCGCACCAGAAGCAACTTGTAGTTTCTCGAGTCACTCCTGACATGAAAAATAAATCTACCTGGCCCAAATCTTTGCTTTAGAGCACTCAAACGTCTTATGAAATGCCTATTTTGTGTAATACATCTTATTTTTAAACAAATACATGAGGCTTGATCCCTTGACCTCTGGAGAAGGATTCACAATGGAAGCTTCAACCATTCGGAAACCACAGATACCCTGCATCCTGGGAAATGAAAAGTACAGATACAACTACAGTGTTCTCATTGAGCCTATATCTACTTTACTGTGTCATTAAATATGAGTATGACAGAGATGCACAGACATCTCATTTCTTGGATTACACTTGCTATTTCTAAGAGAAACTGCGACAAGAGAAGAAGTGGAGTTCTAATACATTCTACAGTGATCCCATCATGTGTGAGATTGCATATGAAAACACAATTCCCATTGTATTCTCTCCTTCATGTGTTAAAATTATCACCAAATTACTTCTCACCATTTCACTCCACTATTTTCCTACAGAGCATTTCATGTGGTGCTGAATTGCTCAAAAGAGATAAATGCACTTAAAGAGAGTGAACATTAAATAATACTGCTGGAGTAACAAAAGCTATTATCTGCAATTAAATATAATTATTTCTCCTTACCAAAATCTATTTCAACTGTTCCTGTTCATGCAATATTGCCCTTAATCAATCTATTTAAGACTCTCAGAAGAATTTACAATTGTCATGAATAAAATGTACATTACCTTTTGCATACACATGTCAGCTATTATGGACAGAGGTATTGTAAGGCTCAGGGCAAGTGTGCCTATCAGTGATGAGGTAAGGAAGCAGCCCCTAGGGAGATATTAAAATAGAAAGACTTGGCTTTAAAACAGCTATAGCATTGCTGAAGTACAGAAGACAATTTTCACAAGAGTATACCAGGAATTAAGAATCTGCAGAACTAGTTACTGCATGCAAATTGAACATTGGAATTCACCAAGACTCCTTTTCTGCAGTTGGGATGGAATCCTTAACCTGAGTTTGTCTCCTTCTTTGTGCTCCACAGACAGGGCTTTCTATTTCTTATTCATCTTTACCACTCCCCCAAGATGGAGGGCTGGTCCCAACTTCCCAATGGTGGTATAATAAAACTCAAGACAAATAAAATGCATACCAGTAGCACCTAACACATAATTGATCAACCAGGGTGGGAAGGATAACAAAAAGAACAACAAAAACTTTATTCTTATATCCCATCTTCTCCCCGCAGCGGCATACATATGGGTCAAAATGCCCACAAAACATAAAAGCGAAATAATCAATTAAAACAAAACATTAACATTAAAGCATAGTAAAATATAATAATCCAGATAAAAACACAATTAAATAAAACATAAGAATATAACACAGCAACGCTGAAACTCAAAACAATGCTCAACAAAACCAATAACCAGTAATACAATGGACATGACCACGCAATAAAAAGGGCCGAGCATGGGATAGTGCTAAACAGCGCACCATAGGGCCAGGGTATTGGATGAAGTGCAGAAAACGAAATATTATCAGGCAACCTAGCGACTGGGCATTTATAATTAAGGAATAGCCATTCTCAAACACGAGCTGAAACATCCAGGATTCCCTCGTTACAACTGCAGAAAAGGAAACTTCATGTTAAGTAGCAATGTTTCATTGTCCTGAAGTGCTGGGAGGCAAACCTTTATGCTGGGTCCTACATTAGCAGCTACCTCACCACCTTGGCAGATATGCTTTCAACTACAATGATCTTGGACTGTGAGACTAAATGAAGACATTTGGGGGCTTTTGAATGAAATCAGTGGTAAAACTGCCTAATACACAATCTTGCCCATCCAAGCATCAGGAGACATTTGTTCACCACAATGGGAATAATGCAGGAGACAAGTATCCCGTGGGAAACTGCTCCAACTCAGAAGAAATTATTGGGCTTTCCACCATGATGTTTAGAAGATGCAGAGTTGCCTTCACTAAAAGCCCAAGAATTGGAGATGTGTGCATTAATACAATGCATGCTGATTTGATCTAAAGTGCTTAATTTTTTGCTGCTGAAATTTGAAAGGAATAGCTCCAGTATGAAAGGAGATTTTTGGCCTCTTTTTCAGTCAATGCAGTTAGCATTTTCTTTGTCTTTGGTCTCAGTCATCACTTCACTCATGGCTCCATAAAATAATTCAGAACCCTTAAAAGGAGTTACATTGTTTTTTGAGTTAATTAAACACATTCCAATTTCTCAGCCAAAGCTGACGCTTAGTAGAATCAAAACTAATTTCTTAATCCTCTGCTAAAGGATAACCTTTTCCTCTGGAACCAGAGAAAGCAAACCTTTTGCTGAATGAACAGGTGCCCGAGCAAATAATGATCCTGCAGATGTAGCTCGGATGGCAAAGAGTGACACCTCATGAGACCATTTTAGAAAATTGTTGAGGTTCTTAACTTTTGGTTTTTTAAGTGTGTCATCTCAATCTTTAGGAAACCGAGGTTTTGACCATAAACTAGCCACAGGGGCATAAATAAGGGATAGTATTAATTTCTCCACTACATTGGGTTACCATAAATATAAACACACAGCAAAAGCTGGCTTTGCCCTTTTCATTCCAGGAAAAGTCAGTTCACTTTTCATAATCTCTGCAAAAACCTCAGGGAAAAAAACAAGAAAATGATCCTGTTTAGCCTTAGCCCTGATCTCTGACATTTCTTCCACAGTTGTACTTATTACTAGCATTAAAACCCAGTGTCTTTTACGCTTTCCACAGAAGGACTGGAAACTGCTCACTCAAACAAATGGGGAGAAAAATATTCAAGCAGAGGATAGCTCTCTTTCCTCTCTGCCAGATGGCAATGGAATCATAGAAGACTCTGCATCATTAAACAACAGTGACAGACTACACATGCTTGGTCTTTCTTTTCATGTTTTTAGGAGGAGAAACCTCTGCAGACAAATGTTTCCCACATTCCCTCTTCTTCTGAGATGAAGAAGAGGACTCCACAAGATGATACTTATTTAAGCATCTTACCCTCTTCTGGTCATGAGAGAGCCCATCAGTATCAGAGAGATGGTGTATTTTTACAATTTTCTTTTCATGCTCAAGCCACTTGCCATCTTAGGCTGATAACACACTTGTTGCCCCTTCCCCTCCACTCCTAGAATCACCAGGCAGCACAGCCTGCCTGACTATGAGGGAAATCCAGTTACACAGCTTCTGAGTAGATCTTGTTCAGTGATTATCAGAAAGGAAAAGAAGAAGCATCCAACACATTCACCTGTGTGTCCAAAATCACACTAGTCACTTGCATAAATGGCCTGGTGTTCAAAACCATGCTCCCTGCCTTTATGGCCCCAATGAAACCTCCATCGAAACCCTCCAAATGAGATTCCACAAGCAATGTCCAAATTTAGCCAAAGTGCTAAAGACTCTGACCTAATACAACCTGAGGCAGAAAAAACCTGGGAAAGTGGGGTTGGTCTTCCCCTTATGGTGGTAGAATGAGTGAAAGCCCTGACTGTGAAGCATGAGAAGAGCCATGTCCAGCATAAAGGATTCCCTCCCCACACTGCAGAAAACATTCTGGTGAAACACAAGGTGCATTGCAAATTCTTAATAATTTTTCTGTATATATTAAACTAAATATTTCTAGTCACATTTTGAAGCAGAGGGAGAGGTAATGCAGATCAATTTAATAATTTCAACATCCTTTCCCCTTGAAACTCAAGTTTTTCAAACTCTATTAATGATTTATAATTTTCACATTTGGAATTATCATTTCAAAAACATAAAATGATTGACAACTATAATTCATGCTAGTACATCTGGCATATTTTCTATGCCCTCTGGCTTGAGAAAAATACTCACTTGGTACCCTAGATTGCAATTTGTTGTCTATCTTGGGTGATACTTGAGTGACCTACTGCTTATTTTTTGATCTTTGTGGTAGTTTACAAGCATATTTTCATCTTTTAGAAGTGCATCTTAATATGACCAGGATATCTTAATGACCCACCATAGATTAACTATAAGATCTAGCTGCTATTAATTTGTATGAGATCAAGGCAAATAAAATTCTCAATGAAGACATTTGGCCCTGAGACATTAAATAATTAATCAACTGGGGAGAGATACAGTGAAGTTCATAAATGGCAACATTTGTATTTGGATTTTGATTCTCCCAATCCGATTCTAATGAATCAATACGGGCTAATGAAAAGGTATTTTTCAGGTGAGTACTGTATCTTAAAGTGTTGAAGAACCAAAAAATGCTATGTAGCAACCTCTAAATATACCACAGAGTCTCTATGTCCATGTATAGCTCTGAGTAGCCATGTTTTAGTAAACCGAAGGACAATCTCTTTTTACTGTACTACTGCTAAGAATTCAGACATAAGTATTTTGATCTAAAGCAACAAAATAACACCGAGATCTGCCTTAGTTTATGGAAGTGCTTCCTTCAAGGACATTCTTGCAATCCTTTAGGGGCTTACAATCTTACCTGTCTAAAGCCAAGGAAACCCCATGGATATGTTTCTTTGTGGGGGAACAGTGGATCTCGCAGTAGGGGAGCAAAATTATGTTGTGCTGACAGAGGCCAATAGAACATTAGATCCTTTGATTGTATTTTCCTACATGACAGGGGTTGGACTGGATGGGCTTGTGGTCTCTTCCAACTCTATGATTTTAAGTCTAACAGAAAATAATAATAAAAACAAAGCACGTACCACAACCAGAGGAATTCGGACAGAACGGTCCCAACAAGGCCATTGATGACAATGCACATAAGGACTAATTTACTGGGAAATTCAAAGGCCTCAAATCCAGTATAGTGTAGTAGGAAGAAACCTGGCCACAGCAGCAGCAAATTAAACAAACCTACAAAACCTGCAAAACACCAGAACAATAAGTATTAACAAGAAAAGGAAAACAATTTACTCTATCTTTATATGTTCCATTTTTTTCTGGAATTATATTATCACTTAACTAGATATTGATGTTGGGCTCTATAAAAAAAGTATTCTGTATCAGGCTAAGGAGGCATGCCATTTCCGGTCAAAAACAAATATCTTTTCAGAGATTTTTTAAAAAGGACATATTGCTAACATTTACACACTTCTCATCTATGATTGGATATATCCTACTATTTAATTAGAATGTGTTAGTTATGTATACTCCACTATTCAATTATATCACTTACTTTTAAAAATTTTAAAAGATGGCCCACTATATTCAATGGCACCTTAGTTTCTAATAGACACATTTTGGTCTGCAATCTCAGAAAGCTAGCAAATAAGTCAGAAAACGTTTTATAAATCAAAATAAAGCAAGTATTCAACACAATAATAAAAATAAGAGGAGTATGACAGATTATCATAGTACTCTTTACTGCAGTAAGCAACACAAGTAGACAATCACATATACCAAAATGCTTACTAGAAAACTGTTTTGCTGCTGGCATATAACAAAATTTTATTAGGATGTCTGAGCAAATTCATTAAGATTTTCATCGATCAAAATGACTATGTTCACATGTCATAAAAATCAGGCTTCCTAGGAAGTTGTGTTTTGTTTTTCAGATTTGCTGTCATTTGAACCGCAAGCAGGAGTGTCTTAACAAATTACTGACTATACAGCTGGCCCTTTGCATTTGTGGGTTTAAGTTTGTATTTTAATTAAAATGTTCTCTCTAGGCATTTCAGTATGCCTATAATAGACTTCTTGGCAGAAGTTGTGCTGGAGAACCTAGAAATTCCTAAAGAGATGTCCATGCAAGTAAAAAAAAAATCATTTTAAATTTGTGGGTTTTCACTTTCATGGGAATCCTTTGCCCCTAACCCCAGTGAATGTGGACTGTTAACTGTACATCTGCAGTTTGCTTGCTGTGCCTTATTTTTCACCTCAGCAAACCAAACAAATAACTCATCAACAAATAAAGGATCATTTCTCAGAGTTGTTAAGAGAAAGAAAAGCCATGGTATTAAGTACTGCCAAGGTTAAATGTCAAAAGAACTATATTTTGTTTAGCCACTTTGAACTGACATAATGAATTCCTTTAAAAAAAATTGAATTCTAGAATTGTCAAGACATCCAAACAGATTTGTTACATGGTACATCTGTCGATTGCTAGACAGAAACATGAGACTTTAAGGAAAAGGCAACCTCTAGATATCAATTCAAAGTTATATTTAATGCATCACCACAGCAAAGTGATCCAAACAAGAAACAAAATTCTGTTTTTATTTTTTATTATTTCTTGCCACTTAACCAAAACCACACACATTTAAGTTTTGATCAAAAAACATAGGAACTAGGTGTGCAACGGTATAGAATTTGATACTGGTCTTTGAAAACATATGAAATGCACGTATAACAAAATTAATCTTCTCAGAGTGTGTTTTGAACCCAGAGAAACCAGCTTTTGGAAAGCGGATGTATTACTTCCACATGTTAACACTAACTGATGACTGTAAAGATCTGAAACACCCGTATTGTCTCACCCAGCTTTTTGAAAAATTAATGCAAGGCACAAGGTTTGCATCTCTGGATCTTCTTACATTCTATTCTACTCCCACAACTATATAAATAAGTTTTGATATCACTCTGTACTGCATCTGAAGAAGGGGGTTTATAGCATGAAAGCTCAGGTTTTAAAAAAATCTGTTAGTTTTAAAGGTACCAGGCCATTCCTTTTTGTTCTTTCTTTACTTTCCTCTTTTTTAGGCTGCAAGAAAAGATAGCTATTACTTTGAAAATTATAACAAAGATTCAAGCTAGATTTAAAAGTATATAAGTGAAATGTTAAGGTTTGATTATATCTAGCTTTGAGATAATTGTACTTTAAGGTATTTGCTGGTCTGAGATCTCTGGAGGCAGTGGCAAGCCACAGCTATCAGCAGGTTGGGGGGGGGGGGTTTGAGGAATGCAGCAAGCCTAGCAGCTGGGGCTTGCCATTGCCTCCAATGCTGCCCTACACAATTTTCAGGAGGGACTTAGAGGCCTAGCTTTACATTATCATACTCCCTTATAAGCCCATATAAAAATGGGCAGGAGTGGAGGCAATGGTAAGCCCCACCAGCAACCCGCTTCTGCCTTGATGGAACCACACCACCTCAAAGAGACAAGTGAGCAGCTGGTGTGTTCCCCACCATGGATTCAAATGTACTGCTGTGTTCATTTGAATCCACAATAAGTCCTGTATGGATTGTGAGCAAGCAGATGCAATTTAACCCAATTGAAAAAGTATCCAAGTTTGACCTGCTTTGTTTTTGACAAGATGGAACCTGTTAAATTAGACCATTGCTAGAAAAAAGGCAGTTTTTCTTTATTTTAAAGTATTTTCTTACCAAAAAACATTGGAATATCAAGCTTGTCTTCTCTGTCTACTTTTCTTTTTATCATAACAATGTAGATTGCATACAGCATAGCTCCCACAAGAGACCACAAGGACCCTGCATATGGAGAAAAATCCATTTTAAAGTAACAGATTTTGCCACTATATTATAGCTGTAATTTTCTAGCACTGCATTATACATTTCTCACAGCTTAACATACTTTTCAGATCCTGCTTCAAATGAATCACATGAAACAGAAGGGAAAAATTTGGCAGAGCCACACAGCTCTGCTTCTAAAATTGCAGTACGTTGATATATATATATATGCGCATGCATGCATGCATGCATTAAAACAGTGCTTTCTTACAGCTTGATATCACACAGTACATACCTAGATATTTCAATTCAGAAAGTTAAGATTTTGGGTGAAAATATACCTATTGTATCTCTTCCAGCAGACTTTTCAGAGCCAGATAGATTTACAAGGACAACTCCTCCAATGCTGTTTGGGAAAAAGACCAACAGGAATATTATATTAAGTTGAACCAAACATTCTATATGGAAATCAGTAAAGTATAATTCCTAACTCTTTATAATTATAATATTTTGAAAGTAGATATCTGTCTTAAAGATATTACTAGACTTCCTGTATCTCTCTCCATGCCGACCAAGTAAAATTCCCTTTTACTTGCTGTTGTTGAATGGGTTCTCAGGTGAAGGAAGGCATCTGGCATAACATACCACTGCATAATTTAACTAGGCAAGACATTGGTTTATTGGCAGTATAAACAAATGAATATGGTGTTTTAAAAGGCAGTACTATGAAATCCAATCTATTTATACTATCTCTGAAAAATGTAATATTCAGTGAGGCTACACAGTTCTCCAGTTTAATAAACTCATGTGATTACATCATAACCTAAGTAGCTCTGCTTAGGATTGATGGTACTTTGAATGCAATATTCCTACTTCTTGGCAGGGGGTTGGACTGGATGGCCCATGAGGTCTCTTCCAACTCTATGATTCTATGATGAAAATTCTGATTTTTGGCAGTGTGTAGTAAAATGAACAATTACTGACAAAGCATCAGATAAAACAAGTGTAACAATTTTAGCAACATTCTGAATATGTTCCCCTTTAGCTCTAACATGACCTTCTGTTTCTAAAAATAGTGACAGAGACTAAATCTAACCATCTGAAAAAGTATAGAAAAACCCACTGTTGGGAGAGAAGAAAAATTGAGATTTGGGCCCCTTCCACACTGCCCTATATCCCAGGATCCAATCCCAGATAATCTGCTTTAAATGGGATTACATGAGTCCCTACTGCCAGATAACCTGGGATAAGCAGATAATCTGGGATCAGATCCTGAGATACAAGAACAGTGTGGACAGGGTCTATGTAGTCTATATTCCTACCTTAAAACAACAGCTAACAATTTTGAAAGCGTAAATCTGTCTCCACTGTTACTTGGAAACACTGCAGCTAGGATTAAGGTAAATAATCCTGTGAAGAAGAAAAAAGCCACAACTTTTATTTGGTAATTAAATACACAATAGTAATACTACTAATATTGGCACAACGTATAATATGATAAAAGGAATAATAAATGGTTTAAATTTGCTTAAGCACTCGTTTTTGAAGAAAGGCAGCACACAAATCCAATCAAATAGAGAACTAAAGTAATCTCATTTAGGCCCTATTGGAATTAATGTCAGAAATAGTTAAAACTTGCCTGGGTTTCATTTATTTCAGAAAGACATCGGTGTTATTAGCAGTCACAGTACGATCCCAAAAAATTCAAAGCATTAAGAGTATGTAGTTTTTATTAACACATGAAATACAAATGCATTTCAAAAACAAAAGTTGAAGACCACTGTTTTTCATAATTTTAAAATAAATGCATATTTATTTAATGCATACTGTTTGTTTTTTTTTCAACAAAGGAAAACAACTTTGTTTTGAATACCTATGTGATAATGCCTTTCTTACAAACAACAATTAAATTGAAGTTCTGCATGTGACTGATGGAAAATAAGCTCCACTAATTCAATTCTACTTACTCTCAGATAAACGCGTGTGTAGGATTCTAACCAAATTTTTCAAAGCAGAATTGCTTGACTTCAGAAGGTGTTTTCTAATTCCTATTTAATACTTTAGACATCACTAGGCACGTATTTATTGTTAGAATATAGATTACCTGTCTTTGGCATCTTGTGCTCATGTTACCATTCCTCTTTTTCATGCTGAGAAAACTCTGATTCAACAGGGAAAGGCCTTCTGAAAATTCAACTAGCATTCCATGCTACTCAGCATTTATTGTAATTTATTATCAAAATGTCTACCTCACTTTCTAATAAGACACTCACAACAGCTTTTAAAACAAAGCCAGTGAGATAAACTGCTAGAAATACTATCATTTATACTCTTTATTTTATTAGAGTTTCTAACAAATACATCCCCACCACCATTTTTTCAGAGTAAAAATGATGTGGGAAGTCTCAATCATAAAACTCCCTAGCAACACAAGAAGACACAACCATTTTTAAAACATGCAATTAGTGAGGGAATTTAAACACTTACAAAAAGTTTTAGGTGCGTTAACAGTCTGTGAATATATGTTTCATTTCTTACCAGAGGTTGAAGAGAGAATATTAACTATGGCCACTTGGGTGTCTGAAAGCGCTTCTTGATAAGAGAAGTTTGCCAAGAACCACTAGGATATTAAAGGATAAGTGTTTTAATTCCTGTGATTTTTAGTTTCCATTCTGCGTTTTTAAAACTTAGGGGGAAGACTAACCAAACACCCCACCCCACAAAAAAAAAAAAGTAAGTCTTTGGAGATGACAAAAGCATGCTTGGAAGAAAAAACCCAACAATTTACATGGAAATTAAAGAATTAGACACTTAGGACAAACAATAACTTAGTCCATTAATGCTCTAATGTACAGTGGATGTTATGAAAGTTAAAGGAGCTATTTTTTAAAAGAAAATTTGATTTTAAATTTAGCTATTTTGTTCTGCTTTGTGAAACACTATTAAATACAGCAACAATAAAAAAATATCCACCAAAATGCCTAAACTGGGGATACTCATAAAGAATCTACTCATTTCGATGTAACATGTAATGTATCCTTAAGTTCAATTAAATTAAATTCATGGATTTAACTAGACAATTTAGACATGACTCAATTAAGTACAACTACTTCCTTCTGGACTCAAGTCTGTATTTTCAGTTAATGAAAAATATCATTGTTGGAAAGGTGAATTACTCTCATATTACGTTTAAAGACCTTTCAAAACATGCTTTTTATTAAAAGATTCTGCATTGCTCTAGTCCCTTTTTGGAAATGGGGGGACATATTTTCTGGCATCCTTATGTGATTACCAGATTCAGTTATACAAAGTCATCTAAGTGATGGCAATTCATTAACTCTACCAATACTACAAGTCTGTTTCAAAACAATGGATCCAATTTGGAACCATGAACCTCCCACATGTGAAACTCTTACCCCTTGAAAGGGCAGGGCATAGAGTTTCAAAGAATAACCGTTACATGTCTCTCTTGGAGTATAAGCAGCCTCAAGCTACAATCATTTGCAAGATGGCGACCCCACAACATAATGAGACATTTCCATTTGAGGAGTTATTTTTAGATTTATTTTTGGCTCAAATTGGTTAGGTAAACTTGATAACTTGATAGCTTTTATAGCCCATCTCCTATAAACTGGAATGCATGTAAATAATAATGGAATAAAGGAGCTCTGTGACATCCTAAGACTAACAAATGTGCTCAGGTAAATCATTAACCATTATTAAAGATTTTTGGTTACAGCTGCTTATTTTGGATGATACTCAAATTTCCCTACAATGTAGGTTACCCTGTAAACCCATGAAACTTTATCAAAAAACAAACACCAAAAATCTGGGTTGACTTATCCATGAGTCAAAGCAAGAACTTTACCTTACATCTTCTTTAAAAAAGGAAGTATCTCCTTCTCTGAGCAGAGTGGGAAAGGGCATGAGGTCAGTTTGTCCTGGGAGAAGCTAAAGGCACCAAACAGCTCTACTCTATGTTCCTTGCTGCCACTTCTGTCCTTTTTGAATGCCTGGCTAGAGAAATGCTTTCTCGTTTCTGTAGAATGACTCTCAACTTATTCATGAGTCATATCAAAACCTGTAATTTTGGCCCCAAAACCTGCCATCAACTTATACACGAGTATATACAGTATTCTCAGTTGCTCTTGAGAGCATTCATCTCCACAAGCTGCCAAACACACAAGTCTGTATAAATGGAAAAAATGATCTTGTGAATCTGAGCCTACTTGACTTGAATTGTGCATACACCATGTAGGCTACTTTGCAAGTTAGGCAATTGCGGACTTCACAGTCCACATATCATGAACATCCAGCTGTCCAGCTGTTTCCATGTAGTATGAGCATAGATGGAAACCTGACTTTATTTATTTATAAGCTTCCCTGGATTCTACATTACTAAAGGTGACCATAGTCTATGAAACCTCATTATATAATATTGTTGTTGGGTTTAAGGTGTCATAGGATTTTATTTCGTTGGCCACAACTGAGTAAGATAGTTACCATTTTTGAAATTATTAAGAAACTACAAAATCAAAACTTTTAAGTTAAATGCAAGGCATAGGTAATAGTTTTGTATGGCAGCCTTCTACTGTGTGATCAGTAGTGCCAGATTTCAATCAGAATGAGAATATTTCAACCAAAGGTATTGAGTGAGATGGGTACAAGTTTATTTTTTAATTTCTATTCATTTTATTGATTCACGCTAAAGGTGGTATACTCTTCCCGTAATGAATGATAGTTTCTTTTAACTAAACTAATCTGATGTCAGAAAGATTCCTATGATGCTTTTAACCATATTTAAATGTGATCAAGTATTTTAAGCAACATACCACAAAACAGAAGAAAAAGCTGATTTTGGCAACTTGTGATGCAGTAAGCTTCCCTACAGCTTTCAATATTGAATCCTGTTCCTTTACTGTTGGATAAGACATACGAGACAGCTTTGCTTCCAATGCATGATTTGATGGGAGTTGTCGAATCTCCATAATATTACTGAATCGTACCCGAGGCTTTTTGGGAGCTTTAAGAGAGGAAACGAAATGCTGGTCATAAAAAGTATTAGATGGACGTCCAAAAAAATAATCTGTGAGATTAAAGCTAGATTTCTACAAAATTACAATTCAGTATTATCTATTCATGTACATCTGCTTACATATGTAGTTTAATGACAGCAATAAGGCTTGTGTCAGCAGTATTCTGTGAAGAAGACAAGGTGTGGCCACAAAATGCACCTTCTTTCTACCTCTGTTAAATGTATTGAAGGGACAGATGTGCTCAGTTTGAGAACACTTGATTGTCTTTTCTGAAAGAACATACATTTTCCTGCTTTTAGTCCTGAGCAGAGAACCAAAGTTAGGCATTTGATATTAATGCCTTGTCTCAGAGTTAGCTTCTGCATAGCTATTACACCATCTTGTGGTTATTCCAAAAAAAGACTAAGATATGCCATTTGTTATATTATGTTACAAAATGCCTTCAGTTATTAGCCTGTTTTGTGTATTATGCATTTGCTTCTTAGATAAATAAAACAACAGTTTCAAACAGATAATCAATTGCAAGACACTTACAGAATCTAAGAACTGGCTGTAGGCTATGTGCTACAATGCCCATGAGATTTTATGGAAGCAGAAACACTTTTGGAACAACTGGAAGAATTTATGTCGCAACATGAATACTCTCACAAACACAGGATCGTGGTGTTAATTTGCCATAAAAGTAAGATCAAATTATCTAATATAATAGTGTTGTCTTTGAAGGTATTTATCATTTATATTTGTTAAATTATTGCCCTATCTTTAATCAAGATAGTGCTAATTAGTAGTCCTGTTCATTGGTATGGAATCGCTATCCGTTTCTGTTTGTCCCATTCTTATGGCCCCATTTCTGTCTGCTTCTTCCAAAAACAGGCACCAATACGAATAAGTTTTTCCATCCAAGATGCAAAAAAAAAAAATGAAAATTTTCAGACCTTGGGTGGCAAAGCACCAAGGCCTGTCAGGACCTCCAGCCAAGCGCACCGTGTGCCCAGTGCTCGGCAGTAAGCTTTGCCAGTCAGGTCTACGAGTGCTGAGTGCTTGACACTCATAGGCCTGGCTGGCAGGGCTTACAGCTGAGTGCCAAGCCTGCTCAGATGTAGGCCCTGGCTGGCAGGGCCTTCTACTGGGCTCTTGGCGCTGCAGACTTGGTGCTCGGCTGTAAGCCCTGGCAGCTGGGCTTACGAACGTTGAGCACTTGGCTGTAGGTCCTGGCTGGCAGGGCCTACAGCCGAGCGCTCGATGCTCATAGGTCTGGTTGGCAGGGCCTTCTGCCAAGCGCTCAACGCTGCGGGCTCGGCGCTTGGCTGTAGGCCCTGCCAGGGTCTACATCTGAGGGGGCCCGGTGCTCGGTGGTAGGCCCTGCCAGCTGGGCCTATGAGCATCAAGTGCTTGGCGCTCAGCTGTAGGCCCTGCCATCCAGGGCCTACACCTGAGCATGCTGAGCGCCCATCACTCAGCTGTAGGCCCTGGCTGGTAGGGCACACAGCCGGTGCGATGAAAATCAGCTGGAAAACAATGGTTACCGTTTCCCCTTTTTATTTTGTTTTTGTTCCTGTTCCCAAGGGTGTTGTATTGTTCCATGCCATCCAAATTGATGGAACAGTACAAACACTATATAAATTGGGCAACACTGAACTTTGGCTCTTTTCGTGCTTGCTATTTCAACAAAATATGCTGGACAAGTTGCTTATTGAATAATTTGCCTTAAGAACCAAGATCAAACTGAGGCAATATAAAGCTTTAAACATTTTTCTATTTAAAGGTATTTACTTTATTTACCCGTATTTTACATCCTTAAGTACTGACAGTGGGACATGTAGGAGAGACATAAAAATGAACTCTTTGGTTATAACAGAACTATCACCGTAATAAAATTATGTATGTTAGGGGGGGAAAGAAAACATGGTCTACTCTTGGTTTTCATACTATCAGACTAAAATGAACATAAGAAAAGTTGCATAAAAATAGAAAATTAGATTTGAAATAGTCACTCACTTTTTTCATTATCACTATTAGTGTTGCTATTTTTTTCAGTTGGCAAGTCATTAAACTTTACAGGAACATATAAAGGTTCACTCTGAAATGCAGCATAACAAGTTCCCAGTTATGTATCAAAGTTGCCAGGAAAGACAAGCAAACCCTACCAACATTGCAATGCTGTGAATGTTTTTACGTGAGTACACTCAAAGACATAAACAGATTAAATTCAAAAGCAGCATAACATTAAACTTTCAGGATATATGGCTTGTTAACTTAAAATATAATTATTAACTAAATACAGCAGAAATCACCCATATGAATGCTTCAGAATAGAAGAACATGGTTTCTTGTACAGGTTGAGCATCCCTTATCTAAAAAACTCCAAAATCCAAAGTAATCCCCAGGGAGGCTGAGATAGTGACACCTTTGCTTTCTGATGGTTCAGTATCACGCAAACTTCATTTCATGCACAAAATTATTACAAATATAGAGTATAACATTATCTTCAGGCTATGTCTGTAAGATGTATATTTAACATGAATGAAATTTTATGTTTAGATTTAGGCCCCATCTCCAAGATCTCATTATGTAGGTATATGCAACAGCAGGTATTCAAAAAGAAAAATAAATCCAAAATCAAAAGCACTTCTGTTCCCAAGCATTTCTGATAAGGGATACTTAACCTGTATATATCAAAACAAAAAAAAATGATGCGCATCTTCCAATTGATTTTTATATAATTTTAAACTCATTGGACAATAGTAAAAATTCTGTTTCTGAAAATATTTCTAGCCTTTTGCATTTCTACTGTTATGGAATGAGAGTTGTAGTTTTAAAAGGTCTGCGCAAGCGTGCTGGTGCCTCACCAAGCTACATATCCCAAGATTCCCTAGCACTGATTCAGAACAGATAAAGTGGAGTCAAACTGTATTGACTCTACAGGGTAGATGCACCACAATTCTGACTTCTATTTGTCCAAAGCAGAGATGAGCAACCTTCTTCCCTCCAAATATTGAGACTGTAACTGCCATCATCTCTAGCTAGCATAGCCGATGGCTGTAATCTCATATATGGAAGGCTACATGTTATCTCTCATGATCCAAAGATTTCAGTTCAGAAAATCTTTCCTCAGACATCCTTCTTATAAAAAAAATATCTTTCCAACACTGTAACCACCGCTACCTCATAGCTTCAGAGTAGTTTCTTGGTTGTGAATGTACAGTTTGTCTCTGAAAGAGGGCCTCAGGTACAGCTGTGTAATTGCATAATCTCATTACACAGTGTCTTCTACTACCACTTCTACAATAGTGCAAAAAGTAATGTTTGGTTTCTGAGTCAATTCAGTGGGAATTCAGTGTCATCAACAGGACCTTGAGGCAAGGTTACCTGATGTTTTCCATGTTTTTAATGCTTACAATACCGTAACAGTAATTAGATTAAAGTTACTGTACCTATCAACCACTTCTAATACAATTATCTATAATATTAATTATTATTATAATTACACAGAATTCTAAATATTTTATTAAGAGAATTGTTAATTTAAAATTACTCTAGTAGAATGAAATCTTGAACTGGCTTAATCTATGTGTAGGCAACTACCAAGATTGATGTTTGCTAAAAAATTACTGAATAGTTCTTCCTAAGTATTTCAGCTATGTTCTTCTGCCTTTCTTATTGATATCCACTAGAGTTTCAGATACTATGAATAATGGAAGCTGCAATCCTAATAACCACTTTCATACAAAAAGCTTTTGAATAAAACGGCACTCTTGCATATTCCCAATTTTTACTTAGAACTTACCAAAGAACTGTTTACAGAGTTATCAGTTGTACAAGCAGCAAAATAACCTTCGGCATCTGCAAACTAATAAGAGATTTAACATTTAAACATTTAACTACAGAACTAGTAGGAGCGTTTAGATTATATATGCTTATAGAACTTATTAACAGAAAAACATGCTCACAAAACAATGCCATTATTAAAACATTAACATCAGTACAAGTTGAGCAACCCATTTCTGGAATGGTTGGGATCAAAAGTGTTTTGGATTTCAAAATTTTTCAGATTTTGGAATACCTGTATATAAAAATACTTACATAATGAGATCTTGGAGATGGGATGCAGGTATAAATCAGAAATTCCTTTATGTTTCATACACATTTATACACATAGCGTGAACAGAATTTTATAAATATTATAAATATTTTTTTGCATGAAACAAAGTTTGCAAATATTGAACTATTAGAAGCAAAGGTGTCACTATCTAAGCCACCTACCTGAACAATTTCAGATTTTGGAGTATTTCAGATTTTGGAATTTTGGATCAGAGATGTTCAAGCCCTTCAGATGAGATCTACACTCAGGAAGGCTGGCCAACTAGCCAAGATCTTCCCTCTTCCTACCACAAGAGTTGGTGCTGGTCTCATTTTAGCTTTTCTAGTTTCAAAGTAAAGACCTTAGTGGTTCTACCTCAGTTAATTTTACTCAAGAATCAATGTTTCAATTCTAACAAAATTACTAAATTTATTTTAAAGAGATAAATTTCTAAACAGTTCCTTTTCACTCAACAGTCTTTACTACTACTTTACTACAAGTAGTTAGACTTTTGTCCATTTCTGACCACTTTTTGTCTTGACTGGGAATGAAAGGAACTAAACTCCACCAACATCCAGAAAGTGAAGTTTGAGAAAAGCTTTAATCAGACCACTTGCAGTGGAATCACTTGCAGATTCTATGAATGGAATTTGGGGGCTACAGAGGACATCAAAAGAAGAATGAACACACATGAAACTTTTTTGTGGTCTAATTTTTGCTATCCAAGATGCAAAGGAAAGAGTAAAAAAAGGGATGAAATTTCTTCATCTACAAAGTATCCACATACTGTTTGGTAATCAACTATTTCGCTTCTCTCTGACAGAAATCACAAAGGACTGTAATGTTATATTTACAGTGTTATTCAGCCTTTTCTCCAGCCAAGACTGAAAGTCAGTCAGCTCACTTGCAGGATTCAAATTCCATGTTTTCCATATGATGTTAAAATAGGCTGATTCAATAGGGTACTCCAAATTTCTAAAACAATATGGGAAACATGATAACCAGAATGGAGAGGCAATTTATTCAGTACTACTTTTTATTAATAAGCACATTTATTCAGAATCATTGCAGAGAAATTTGAGAAAAACAGTCTCCAAAAAGAAGACATTTACTGACATTTCCTTTTTAATGGGCTAATAAGAATGTTTTATAAAGGAAAGCAGAATATAGCAAAGAAGATAAATCAAACGTCCCAGGATTGATTCCAAGGATATATTAAATTCCACATCATTTATTCCATTTCAGTTCCAGTACAAAGCACCACCACTGTGCAATTATCACTTCTGTTTATGCAGTGATTCAATCTGAAATGTGAGACTAATGGAGGAATTATTTTACTCACTGCACATCTGGGGCTTTAACTTACATTAGTTTATGAAGCCTTTTTTTCTAACATATGCTCTGATTTTATTAGTTTACAGAAGCCACAATGTTTATACCATTATTAAATTGAAAGATAAGGACACTTACAAAAGCTGCATGCCTGCCACGAAGCCCACGTGTACACTGTTGCCTCCATGGTTTCCAAACAATAAATCCCAGGAGGTAAAGAACAAACATGGATGTTTTCGCAAATGTGCTGAAGAATGGCTTGTTATACGTAGAGAAAACATACTGCAAAACAGAGAGAAAAGGGAACGTTACTACTGCTGTCAAATCATGACATATCACACAAAAGAACTATAACTTTACTGCTCAGCAGTTCTGCACTATTCACACTTCTCTTGAGAGTTGCAGCAAGGAGATAATTATTCATAAATACAACATGCTGATTTCAAACAAAAAAAGGCTGCATGAGTCTTAGGAAAAGAGAACAAGTGTGACAGATAGCTGGCAACCTATCTAAAGCTTCATCAGAAGCTAAATGGGAAGAATCTTAAGAATTTGTAACTGAAGTTTAGTGTTCTGCTTTCAAATCTAAATTACGATGAAGGAAGCTATAAAAGAACACAATCATCCCTACTCCTTGGGACAGAAGAACATGAGCTCTTTAAATGAGGATCAACTCAGAGGACTTCTGGAGCCACCAAACACTTTCTGTTTATAGCTGTCAATGGATGTGAGACATTTCTACCTTGGTAATTTACTGAGAATATCATCCTGAGATCACTATGTCCTACTTGCCTTTTAACATGAAATCAAGAGAATTTTACATAAGCAACTTTTAGAAATTGTTATATAGGATTCATATGAATCCCAGACTGTCAGACAGGGCACATCACCGATCAAATCCTCACAAAACCAATTGAAGACGTTGGAGCTTCTTATTCCTAACTTACTGTGAAGATAGAAATGGAAAAATCTCATATATACTATATTACACTACTCAGGGGAAGGATGGGGTGATTTCTCAGAGAGAGTAAGAGCTTGGGGCATGTATTATAGGTGACACATTCAAATCTAGTCTTCTGACAATCATGGGCTATTGTCTAACAGGTTTAGAATATGTAGAAGATGATGCCAGCTTATTTTCGACTGCTCTGGAGATTAGAAATTTAACTAAATGATTAGATCCAAGTTAGGAGGAACTAACTTGGATGTAAGGGCTGTTGGGCAGTGGAAACCTTTTTTTTGTAAGGTAGTGGACTTCCCATTCTTGAAGATTTTAAAACATATTTCATGTGCATCTTTCTGTGGAGCTTTAGTTGTGCATTCCTGTCTGGCAGGGGGATGGACTAAATGGCCCTTGTAGTCCCTTCCTACTTTGTTATTCTACATTAGAACTATATACTTCACTATATAAATACATAGATCCTAAAAGTAGCTCTTGTAAAACATACAAAACACTACTTTTAGAAAATCAGTCCAACAAATAATGTTTGCTTCGATATCTACTGAGAACTGCTGCTTTTATCAGATGTACTGTGCTCAAATGTTAATAAATCCTAATGCATGCAGCATTATCAACTATTCCTACACTATGACTCAATTTCCTATAACTATTTGAGTTCCTGGGAACTAAAGTTGTTTCTTACACAGATTTCATGCAGTTCAAATAGGAGAAAACTAGACTTGCCTAATCTGTGGAAAAGAAGGAGGTTTTAAATATATATATATATACATATAATTATACAAGAGAGGCATTGAAACAAAACTGGACAGATTAATTGTATCTAAGTATTATTTAAAACAATATAAGTGCTGGGAAAACCTTGTTCAGAAAATGTAGTCAATCAGGTTATGAAAACCTGTCTAGCCAGCACTGGCTTTGCTGGTTCAAGCATGTGCTAAAATTACTTAATATATTAATGGATTGAACACATACATTTCTCTTTGTGTGGAATACAATTACTTTAAGACTAAATTTTCTGACAGTATTGCAGATTATAATCAAAGCCTTACTGAAGTGAGTTCAGAAGAAGCAACCCATATAATGTCAACCAGGAGAAGAATGACAATTCCAAGGGCCATTCGTCTACGCTGACTGGGAGAACTGCCTTGCGGATTCATCCGGTTCATGATAAAAATCCACACCATTTGTGATCTGTTTGGGAAATAGTAGTTTAAAAAGTTCTAAAACTGTATCACAACAGGCTTGGTATTTCAGAAACTAGGTAAAATTGAAAGCATGAAATGCAGTTACAATGTAAAATAACAGTCAGTTTTCATGATGTGACATATATAGAATACAGTCTGTTAAAAATAACCTATTTATTTTAAAAAGTATCAATTGACACTATTTTGCTAGCGGAGTCTCTGAGATTAATTTATATTTCCTATATTTCAATCTTTTTCATGGCAGAGACACTCACAGGAGGGCAAAAGCAGGGAGCTTACAGGAGGAGTTTGTTCCTGAGATGACAAAAAACCTACTGGTGCCTTTTTTAAAGTATCAGGACTAAAGGCAACCCCAATTCTATTGTCTATACCCTCATAAATAGGCTTTTTTTCAAGGTACATTTCCAAGCAATTGTATAAAAACTAGGAAAACAGTAGAAAAGTATATCAAAATATTATTAACACATACTGTAGTTCAAATAATTATAGCATAACAATATGTTTTAGAAACTACACAAACAAGAGATTCAGGTCTTACGAATAAATATTATGTACCCAAATTAACTTAGCAAAAATACGATTGTGTATTTCCAACAAAAGAGAGTCTGATTCAGACAACTGAAGACATACATAAATCCTGTTGATCCAATTACGACTACTATTGGAATGACAACAGTCCAAAAGATATAGAGATACAGATTATTATATGTGCACAAAGAGCATTCACCAACTTATTGAATGTAACAGATTACATTCTTTATAATTGTTTCATGTTTTGCACAACAGAAATAAACGGTATTAGAAACCACAAGCGTAAATAATAAATGTATATCATGGACAGAAGCATGCAGATACATGAAGAGAATCAAAATATTCCATTTCATGGAATATCTTCAAGTTCAAGATTATGCAAACAAACAAATAATACAACTTGTGCTTGTCTTTAGTACTACCATTAGACACTGTTAACTGTGTGAAGGTTGATAAGAAGCATCCTGCTACTTAAAGAGAATCAGTTACTATTTTAATAAATTTCTTCTGAATCCAGATAGGTATCTCATTGGCTGTAATAACCACAAAAATGTGTTATCTTTCTGGAATTGCAATTATCAATAAACAAATTATTTTATTCTTTCTAAATAAAACATGTTTGCAAAAAGCCTGCTAACACACTATAAGCCTAGAGCCATCATACCTGGCCTCTGGTTAGGTTGTCTGGAAGTTGGCAGCTGGTTTCTGAATTTGGGCATATGGCTTATTTATCTTCTAAGCTCACTCGTTTTCATACATACATACATACATACATACATACATACATATATATATATATATATATATACACATACACACACACACACACACATACACACATACATATACATACATACATACATACACACACACATATATATATACATACACACACACACACCCCTCCAACAACAATAGATGCTACACCAGGTTCTTGGTCTTATATGAAGTATACTAGTTAAGAGCAGAAATACCATATTTCACCGCATAATAGTAGCAGCCCCCCTTTCCCCTACAATGAAGGGGTGTGTGGCTATTATGTGATGAAAATGGTAGCTGGCAGGAAAGGGAGATCCCATAAGCCACTTTTGCATGTGTGCATGGGTGAGTGGAGTCTACAGGGCTTCCTTAAACTGATGGCAGCTGAGGAAGAACCTGTAGATCTTTCACACTGGTGTGCATGGTTTTGTGAAGCCTCACCCTCATGCCTCTCTCAGCTGGTAGCCCCAAAGGGAGGCCTCACTCAGTTGGCAGCTGAGAGAAGCTTCTTTGCTTCTCTTGGCTGCCTTCATCCACCTGCACATCTGCTCTAAGAGGCAGGCAAGCTATCAGAGGCACAACAATTATCGGGAAATACAAAAAGACCAAAAGCAGGATGTGGTTTTTGTCTTTTTATATTGTGATGGTGACTATTATGCTATGAAATATAGTACTTAAGAGTATTTAATATACGTACAAGTTTAAAATGACAACTAAAAACCAAGTTTAAATTCAAACCCAATGACACCAAGAAAGGCATTTAATAAAGTAGTAATGGATGAATAAGGCAACAGGAGGATAAAACAATCAAAAGAGCAAAATCTGTGAAACTGTGCTGAAACAAACAATGCTTGCTTAACATCTAAAAGTGATTATGAATTTTGTGGTGGGGGTTATGTAGGGCCTTCCAAAATGCTCTGTATCTCATGTAGAACTGGTAAAAAATATGCCTCAGTTACAGCCCTTCGGGATTTCTGGTAACAAGGAAATATGAAGGTGAGCAAAGTTATCTAGAGGGATGTATAGTGATGTGTCATGAGATATTCTGGTTGCAGGCTGCTTAGAACTTTAAAAGTCAGACAAAGCATCCTGCATTGAGTCATCAATCAGTGAAGTTGGAAGACTGGTATAATGTGACGTAACTGAAAATTTGAAACCATTAAAACTTTCAGACTAGGCTCAAATGGAGTTGATAAAAATATTACAGTAGTCTACTCTAGAAGAAACAGGAGCATATATGGCTGATGAGTTCCAGTTTCTTCAAAACACGCACATGCAATAACAGCCACCCACAGACTTCCTTGATTTTCTTTGGATAAAGTGCCAATTTGCAGAGCCTCGGGTAATTAAATCCAAAAGTGACATCAGACAGCTGTTGACAGGTTCCATAGTCACTCCAGGACTATAACGTGTGGAACAAGGGGAAAATCTGGGAGTCATCTGCATATTGATAGTATTGAACTAAAGATCTCCAGGTACAAACTTTCATTTAGGACACCACCAAAAAGGAATATAAAGATAGCTGTTACATTGGTGACACCACACTTATATCAGTGTGATTAAGTAGGTTTGTGGTATAACTAATACAAGAGACAGATCTATAAAAGATATATTTTCAGACACTTCTACATCTTATCTATTTTGGCATTTAGATATTAGATAGATAGATAGATAGAGATATATAAAATTAATAATAAATATATTATGATCAACAGATCAGATAAAACAAACGTTTATATATAATTAAACAAACATATATAAATGCCAAAGTAGGTAAATGCTGATGTGTCTGAAAGTTTTTAATAACAGACAAATAGCAAATATCTCTCTTGTAAAAAACATATAATGTAGTATTTGTAGTGGATGACCCTTAAAGTGGAGTAATATCATACATAAACATACACAAATATATCACCACTGTTCATTCATAAGCTACAGGCCCCTGATGTTTGCTTTAAAGAAGAAGAAAAAAACATCAGCATACACATCATACTTCTTCTGCTTCATATGCAGCTCAGCTAGAAAAAAGTGATATATTTTAATTTATAAAATTCGTATTTGATAAGGAAATTTTAAGAGATACCTGCTATTTCAAAGGAATACAGCCATACCTGCTCAGTAACCTTTTACAGTTAAAATGTCTGGGCTCTAAAAAGCTTCATGGCATCATATTAAGATGAAGACCACCTCCTAAAAATAATAATAAAAATGAAGAGTGTCAGTAAGTACTGCAGAGCATGTTTGACTTCAAGCTGTTAAAAGTATGCCATGGATGCTTTCACTTAAGCCCTTGGAAAGATATTCTCCAAAATTTGCACTCAAAATACCATAAGCAGCAAAACTAAAGGACTATGTCAAACAACAGCATAAAAAGGGAAGGGGGACCTCAACACAGATGAGTCAGGTCACAAAACAGAATCCATAATTCCACTAAGACAAGGGTATGAAGTATAGTAGAGTCTCGCTTATCCAACATAAATGGGCTGGCAGAACGTTGGACAAGCGAAAATGTTGGATAATAAGGAGGGATTGGGGAAAGCCTATTAAACGCCAAATTATGCTATGATTTTACAAATTAAGCACCAAAACATAATGTTTTACGACAAATTGACAGAAAATACATGGCAACATTACATAGTAATTGTATTTACAAATTTAGCGCCAAAACACCGCAATGTATTGAAACAACTGTGGATCCGGGCTGGAGGAAGACTGTGTTGAATAATACAGAACGTTGGATAAACGAGACTCTACTGTATATGTGGGAGGTAAACATCTGTTTTTAGGCATAAGTGAAGAAAAAAATTACTAATGACAATACAATACAAAATATACTGTACTCACTGAATAGAAACAGTAATAGGTGTAAAAGACTCAAAAAAGTTTTCCTGAACAAGGATGAAGCAAAATGCATATATTCAGATGTTGCTGGACTTCAACTCCCATGAGACTTTCCTAGCAAAGCCATTAATGGAAGCTGCACTTCTGGGAACTGGAGCCAAACATCTGGAGATATTTTGTCCACACCTCTTTTGAATACAATATGGTCATATCTTTAATTGTGATGCTTCTGATGCGATCCTCAACTTGAATTTTCCAATTCTTTCCATTTTGTAATTTTCATATTATTTGCTATTATAATGTAATATTGGCACATTAAGCTGTAATCACTTGCTCAGAATGTGTTCTCAGAGTCAGATATACTGTTTCCCAAGCACTAAATATTTTGTTGCAGCTTTTATCTGTTTCATATTGTAACCCATATTCAGAGACTATTTCATTAAATGTAGACATAAGATCTGCAAGAGTATGTTGCAGTGTTCCCTCATATACCATGCAGAATAACAGAAGCTTTATAGGGCTTATTAGTCATAGAGAATAGATGGGAGATGAGTTTAGCAATATACAACAACTTTTTTTCCTCTTTTCCAACTGTCTACTACAGTTTCACACTGTGCTGAAATGGAGAAGGTATACACAATGTGTTGGAGAGAAAACACACACACACCGATTTCCTTCTTACTATAAAGAGCACACAATATAAACAAGAGCTTGAACAATTCACAAGCTTATGTACTTCTGCACATACTACAGGACAAATGGGAATTCTAGAGGGTAGACTGTAAGTCCCAGCAGCCTTAGGCAGAATAACTAATAGTGAGAAAAGCTTGCTAACAATCTCTGAAAGGCTTCATAACCGCTGCTCTGGTTAAGGGAATTTTACAAGTATACAGAAGCAACTGATGTGTTTTAGTGGCCCTGTTTCAGTTTCAAAATAATTAAGTCAATCACTTGCATCCACTGCAACTGGGTTTGTGGCAAGGTGCTTGTAGTTAAGTAACTGATTGGCATTGGGATGCTGTTGGAAAACATGTAAAGGCCTGCCACCAAGAAAGTTTGAAAGGGCAGCTCTATTGTCAAGAACATCTTGTAGATTATTAATGATACAGATACATAACATGGATGGCGAATTGAGTACAAGATCTTGCCACAAACCCAGATGCTAAGTCTGCTCATACATTTAATCAGGAAATGTCATTGCAGGACCTAATCACAACACTCACAGCATCAGAGGTATTTTCACTTGTTCATCTTCTAATATGATATATGCAGGGCCGTAGCCAGAAATAAATTTCAGGGAAGGTTGAAAATTTGGGGGGGGGGGGGGTGAAAATTTGGGGGGGGGGGTTGAAACCTGCCTCCTAGCTCACGCTGAAGCAAAGAGCACAGCAGGGGCAGAGCAGCCTTCAATAGCCTGCAGCTCCGCCCCTGTCAACCACCTCCACCAAGTCTGGCCTCCTTAATGAGAGCATTCAACACCCCCCCCCCAACTTGGTTGCTTCGCTACATCGGCTATTGCTGCAAGTAATGACAGTGTGAATAAATTGTCAATATTTGCTTGAGATAGTGCTTGCAGTTCTGGAGGGACTCTTAATTTTTTGCTTCTCATAGACTTAGCATGAGGATTTGGTTAACCAGTTAAAATTCATGAGTAAAACAGGTTTTTTTAACCTGAAAAATTTGGGGGGGGGGATGAACCCCTAAACCCCCCTCCCCCGCTACAGGCCTGGATATATGCCATTCTGTCAGGAACCGGTTTCCAGGCCTTGAGTCTTGGCGCAAAAAACCAGAATCCTGACATGGAGTGCTGATAAGAATGTGCAGCTGGTGGCCTTGGGGGGAAGCAGTTGGCATTTGGCGGGGAATATTGCGCGGGATTCTCGGTTGGCGGGAAGGGGGAATTCAATTGTGAGGGAGGGTATATAAGGGTTGAACCGCGGCTGCCGGCCAATCCTGGCTTTCTTCGTGTATGAATGTCCAGCAGTAAAAGTTCCTGATTGATTACGGATTGGCGTCCTGTGTCGTTATTGGGAGCGGCTGCTGTGAGCTTACATTAAGCCAGGATTGGCGGTACCATCCCGCGGCTGCGGTGAGGTACCCTTATGGAACGGGAGGAAATTCCAGCAGCAGGGGGAGAGCCGGACTCCCCTTTTGAGAATGTGGAGGAGGAGTTGGAGAGAGTGGCTGCCTTGGCTTCATCGACTGCTTATGCCCGGCCCAACGGAGTCACGCAGAGGCGAGTGAAGGGGGCAGAGGCAGCGGCGAGAGAAAGCAGTGGACTGGACTTCCCCTCCCCGCAGAGAATAGACTATTTGGAGGAGAAGTTGGCATCCATGGAGACCACCCTCGCGATGATGTCGAGGGTGATGGAGCGGCTGGCCCCCTTGATAGAGGAATCACAACCCCGAGGGGAATCGGTGTGGAGTGCAGAGGAGAGGAGTGACCGGGGACCCGGAGCACGGCCTAAAACGCAGGCGAGTTGGAGAACCGGGGCAGAGAGTGATGAGGAGGAAGGACAGCCGCGGGGACTAACGCTAACGTCCCAGCAGACGCTTCTGGTGCCCCCGGCCGGAGCCGGGCGTGGCACAGGGCGGCACGGATTGCCCCCGGAGCAGCATGGGCTCCAGGGAGGGCCACCGCGAGCGGAGAGCCGGGAGAGGCAGCCCCTTGTCCCTCACCAGAGGAGGGAGGAGCTGCGAGTCGAATTTGGAGGTGAAGCCGGGAACCTCGATTATTTCTTAACCATGGTGAGGGGATACCTAGAGGACAACGCACTCACTTTCAGATCGGAGGCAAGCAGAGTACGGGCAGTGGGTGCGGCACTGAGGAGAGGAGCGGCAGAGTGGTATGTCCAACTCCATGCCAGGCGTGACCCATGTTTGGGGTCCACGAGGCGTTTTCTGGCAGCGATGGAAGCACGCTTCAGGGATCCGCTTGAGAGAATCCGAGCGAGAGAGAAGTTGCAAACGATAACCCAAGGTCAGCGTTCCGTGTCCGAATACGTAGAAGAATTCCAGTTGCGGGCAGAAAAGGTACCTGAGTGGTCCAATACCACTAAGGTCCAGATATTTAAGGAAGGCCTGCGGAAGGAAATCTTGGCCTGGGCACTTCATCGCGATGATCCGGAGGAGATAGGCGGATGGATTGAGCTGGCTGGCCGCATCGAGACGACCCTGGCTCAAGTCAAGAGACATCGAGGGGCGACACTGCAGCAGCCGAGAGCCAAGGAGGAGAGTCGGAGGGCGGAGAGAGGCACGATCGGGAAAGGCCCAGCCGGAGGACCCAAGGAGCAGAGAGGCGGCTGTTTTGTATGCGGCCGTTTTGGGCATCGGGCTGCAAATTGTCAGCAGAGGAAAGGGGGGGATCCCCCTCAGTCAAAGTTTAAACCGGCCGCTGGGAAGAGAGCGGAAGAGAGCCTCCCTCACAGGGCCCCAGTGGGGGATCTGGTGAGTCACAACCCAGGGATGTTAGTATTCCCGATAAGACTAGAAGGGGAGGGGAAGTGGGCCAGCTGCAAAGCCCTCATGGATTGTGGCTGCTCCAGGAACATTATGACCCCAGAATTGGCAGATGAACTGAAATGTGAGAAGGCCGTCTTGCCAGCCCCTATAGCATTCTCACAGCTGGATGGCTCGGTAGCGGCTGGAGCCCCGGCGCGATTCGAAGTGGGGGAAGTGAAATGCAAGATAGGGAATTGGGAAGGCGGCATAACATTTGTGGTATCCCCTATAGCAACTTACAATGTGATATTGGGGATGCCGTGGTTGAGGGAGGCAAACCCACAAATCAATTGGAGGAAGGGCAGCCTGAGCTTCCAAGGCGAAGAGAAGGGGGACTGTTATAAGGGGGAGGGAGGCACGACAGACGGAGTGCAGGAGATCCCTCCCAAATATAGAGACTTTGAGGATGTGTTTGATGAAAAGAAAGCGGATCAGCTTCCTCCCCCAAGACGGGTCGAGGTGAAAATCGAGCTCAATAAAGACGCTAAGCTGCCTAGGAGTAGGCTATACCCAATGTCGGCTAAGGAGATGGAGGAACTGAGGAAGTACATTGATAAGAACTTAGCCCGAGGGTTCATAGTACCATCTGAATCCCCATTGGGGGCCCCAGTGCTATTTAGGCACAAAAAGGACGGCTCATTGAGGTTGTGTGTGGACTATAGGGGGCTGAACGCAGTGAGCACGACCAACAATTACCCATTGCCTCTAACCAAGGACTTACTGTCGAGACTGTCAGAGGCGAGGGTGTTTACGAAAATTGACTTGATTGAGGCCTATCATAAGTTGCGAATACGGCCTGAGGACAGGTGGAAAACGGCTTTCGCATGCGCATTGGGGCATTTTGAATATTCCGTGTGTCCCTTCGGTTTAAAAGGCTCTGGGGGGGCATTTATGCAAATGATTAATGAGGTGTTGCACCCGCTACTGTACCGCGGAGTGTACTGCTTTGTGGATGACGTAATTATATTCAGCCGTGATAGGCAATCCCACGTTCAGTTGGTGAGGGAGGTACTCCAGAAGTTGAGGGAAGCAAAGTTGTTTGCAAAGCTGCCAAAATGTGAATTTAATAAGGAACAAATAGATTTCCTCGGATACAGAATCTCCCGGGGAGGGGTGGCAATGGATCCTTCAAAGGTAGAGGATGTCAAGGGGTGGGGACCCCCCCAAACACGCAAGCAGTTGCAATCATTCCTAGGATTTGCAAACTTTTATCGGGTGTTCATAAAAGACTTTGCTCAGGTGGCACTGCCCCTCACCGAATTGCTGAAGACAAAGGGGAGGGGGGAGACGATAAAGGTACGGTCCCCGGGAGCAAGGTTGAATTGGTCAGCAGAATGCCAGAGGGCTTTCGAGGAACTGAAGCGCAGGTTCACAGAAGAACCTGTCCTAATCCACCCCGATCTGACTAAGCAATTTGTGATCCATTGTGGCGCATCAGATTGGGCCTAGGCTCGGAAGGAGGTGGAAACATGGGGTCTTATCAAAAAGTCAGCGAGACGGAACGAAATGGCCGGGGGACAAAGGAGGCCCGTCAATCCTACGGCCGGCGACATGGCGCATTGTGAGGGTAAGCACACCATGAGTAGGACGACACACACACCATATTCACACAGGGATGTCCGGTCCCAAATAAGGGGAAAGTCTAGCAGCCTGTAGTAAGTACAAGGGGGAGACAAAATTGGCGCAGACCAGTAATATGCCTTCGGAGAATGGAGGGTCCGACCAAAAGGGGATATTCTCGGGCGCGTTTTCAGCAGCAAACGAGACCCACGCGGGCTCAGCACCTATGTGGGGGTAGAGCAATGCGGGGTGTCTGTGAGATGTTTATAATGCATTAAGGCGTACTACGTTTAAGGGCAGTCACATTTTAATTTAATTTTTCTTTTTTTCTCCCTCTTTCTCTCCCTGTTTCTACCCCTTTTATTACTATACATACACCATTTCTAGTAAGGTTGCTTCAGCACAAC